GCTCGATATAACGTGTAATTCCATCGCTGCATTCGACTCTCTCTCCCTCTCTCTTTGACTGCTTTCTATTTGTTTGACACCTTGATTAACACTCATTCTTTTTACACGCGCCAAGCAAATATTTTATTTCTATTCTGCATGGCCGCTCATTGACTCTTCTACCGCGAAAGCTTTTTTGTCAGAAGCCACTTATTCCAATACTTCTGGTATTTTCTATGAGCGTGCTTTTCCCTGTCATTCGAATTAGAACTATTTCCTACCAAAATTCTGTGACGATTCGTCGACGATTAATTGAATGACTTACGTGACGGGAAGCAGTGCTAAATTATCATTCCTATCCGGTCTAATAAGTACATCGAAAATTAAACATCCCCATTGGCCAATCAATAAAAACTTTTATTCGTGGCATTCGCAAAAGCATTCGACGTTTAATAGCGGTCATAAATTTAGCTCGCGAAGCATCAGCCAAACAGGAAGAGCGAGGGGGAGTCAGAGAGGCGCATCAAACAGGTCGATAGCTCGCGCGAGCCGAAATCCTTCTCGCGGCAAATCGTCGAGCGTATTTCATCGCCACCTGGCACGTGCCATTTGCATTACGAAAATTGGCCGCGAATTTTATATCTGCTCACATACGTGCGGCCGAGACGAGGGGGAGGAAATTTTTTTCAGCTTTCTCGCGAAAACTCGAGCCATTACGTTCTCTCCACCCTCTCCCCTTACTTTCTCCCTCTCTCTCTCTCTCTCTCTCTATCTCTCTCTCTCTCTCTCTCTCTCTCTCTCTCTGCCGGCGATAGTTTATGTTACCTATTTATTCTTCCGGGGGGCCAGTGCGCGAGGTTTAAGAGCTCGCGCCGGTGATGTATGTATCGGCGCAACTTTCGCGCCGGGAATTTTTCCCGGAGCTCGCCACTCTTCTGGATTTTCTTCTCTTTCCGAAAGACACTCCGGCGCAAGAGAAACAGGGAAAGAGTACTTTCCGAGAACGTCAGACGGAAGATATAGAGCGCTCGGAGGTGGGAGAGAGTTGCTTGTCCTTTAAGGCCGCCGCCCGCCACAGCCTTTTGATCCGGCCACTCGCTAAAGCTTAAGTAGACAGGCTAATTAACTCTTTAATAGACCTCTAGCTTATTCAGTCTCTCAATCTATCGCCGCTCTTTCTCTTTTATTTCAAATATCCCTTTGACTTCAAGGGCATTGTCTTGCGACCATTATACACGCCATTATACGTGGACCTTCAGCCTCTTTATATTTCAATTGAAAGTACATCGGCAAAATTTTTGGGATAGCGATACTGTGTTATGTCAAATGGACTTCAGTTTGTCGTAATTTTAAATTTTCTCTTTTTATGTCTCGATAAATGTCAAAGCAGCACAAGCGATCGCAAAGCCAGAATATCTAAAGTAAAGCTGATTTTTTTTTAAACTTGTCACTGCTATATAATAATCATAGTGGATAGTTGAGCAAGAGCTTTTGATCAAAGAATCCGCGAATAGCAAATGCGTCAAGCGAAGCTATCAAAATTCACGCGGAAGCCCAAAGTGGAGCTTGATGAAAAAACTTAGCGCGCAACAATAAAGCACTAAAAAAGACATTACTGCTCGGTATAGCGGTGGCATAAAGCTGGAGTTTGCCCGTCGCGGCAGGAGAGAGCGAGAGGAGAGGCGGCGAGCGACGAGATGTAAAGCGGCACGTCGACGCTGATTCTCTCCCTCAAATCCTCGAGAGGTCCTCGATCGATTCTCCTCCGCGGATACGAATGCCACCGTCTTGGATCGCATGCTTTTCTCTTTCCATCTCCATTTCATATTCCCTCTTTCACTCGGTCGACGCTCCATCGAGCCCAAACGATTTTTCATCCTTTCTGTCAGCGATGCCAGCCAGCGAGACTATCAATTACTATAAGCCCTGCTCGTCACTGTTATTAAGTATCGTCTCTCGCTGTACTATGAAATCATTATTTTAATTATTATTTCATGAAATCTCGACAGCATGAAAAAAACACATGCACGCTCCGGGCTTCTTGTCACGCGTAACTCTGTCGAGAACGCGTGCCGTTTCATTCCGAAATGTCGATAAAGTCAATTCTCAAAGACAACGAGTACATTGAAAAAATGGAAATCGGATTCAAAGGGGCTGATTCTAGAGGAAAAAAATAAAAAAATTTCCTTTTGCTCCCCGAGGAAGAAGACACTCGCGAGACAATTAGCACCTCTTCAATCTATTTGCATTCGTGTTTTTTCTTTCGAATGACTTTTTCTCCCGAGATAACTGAGCAGACAACTTCTCGTCTCTTCTCGCTCTCTTTGTAAGTTGAAACTTTTGAAATTCTTTCTTTCTCTCCTCCCCCTTTGAACTTTGACCTCTCTCCCTCCCAGTGCACACCACCTATCAAGTGCAACTCTAATTTTCTACTTTCTAAAACTTCGGGAGAAATTACTATTTCCAAAAGAAAAAAAAGAGAAGGAAAAGCGAATGCTAGCTCTCCTCGAAAGAGATTGTGAGCCAAACTTGGCTAGAAATAAATGCATCTAGAGAAGAAGAGAAGGACACGAGGAGACGCGCCGCTTTATTATCCCGATACGCGCGTATTTTAGTGTGTGCGTGTGTATGAGCACCAAGGTTTTACGAGTACGAGAGGTAGAGAGAGAAGCTAGGTGTGCCTACATATCCGGGAATTTATCATCGCGCAAGCGCGTGCTATGCTCAAGGAGAAATCGTCGGGTGGCAATGGCACCGAGGATGTACCTGATATGGACGCGCGACTTTGAGTTTGCTCTCGCCGCAGTGGGGATAAGGATTACATACAGTTATTTTAAATTTTTCTTCTAGTCGAGTTTTGAATAAAACATATCGTAATCGCATATTTGTCAGGCTGTTTATTGAAAAATTAATATCGCTTTGAGTGGCTTCGCCGAATACGAGTGCAAAATTTAAATGTTTCAAAAATATCTACGATTTAACGACGGGATGTAACGACAGTATCGACGAATAATTTATGTAAAGTTTTTTTCGTTGCGATATTATGCAGGCATATATCTTAACGCATTACTACTCCAAAAATATATGTGAATAAATTATGAAACTTTTGCCTTTGAAGAAAATCAATGAATGGACCGCTCAATTTGACGAGAGAATATGGTCTTTAGGTCGACAACAGGCTACTCGAAAACGATATTTCAATAAAAAGCAAATCCTCGATGATGAATATCCGAGCAAGTACGTTAAACAAGTTGAGTGCGCTTGTAGAGCTATAGCGACAGGCTTGCTAAAGCCTGGTGTAATACTAACCCTTGAAAGGGTAACTCACTTTCCCGGGGGTGCCTTAACGATGCTCGCCTCGTAAATTCGGAGTATGTGAGCATCAGAGCGCGGCAGGCAGGCAGGCAGGCAGGCAGACAGGCAGCAACGAGCGAGACAATAAGTAAGAGTTAACGCCGAAGCCGCGATTGAGAGCTCGCCGCCGATGGCAATTCTGGCGTCGCAAGGCGGCCTCGAGTGATTGATTATCATCCGCCGTAGATTGCTCGCAGCTTTATTTGGATAATCGGCTTCGTCGTCGTCGTCGCGCATACCACGCACGCTCATAAAGTCAGCGGCGAGCTTGAATAACGATAAATGTCCGTTTCGTCGCGCCCGGGCTTTCTAATGTTTCTGTGCCTCCTCTCCCCCTTCCCCGCCCTCACTACCCGTGAAGCGTGGCTCTCGGCTCGAAGCTTTCATTACTTTTACGTGAAATTTATGAAGCCCCGTATTCCGCTAGCCATCAAATATCTTTTTGATGGCGTTCGAGCTCGACTCTCAAACTCGAGCTTCGTCGCAGAGATTTTATTGAATAATTTAAAAAATTATTATCGCGTCATATCGATAGATCCACGCCGGTTTCTATCGTTTTTCTGATCTACGCGATTTTCAATGGGAAATTGAAAAAAGAAATTTACTCTTTATCCAGGGCTAATGAAGCCTTGCATTCTAGTTGTTTTTGTACATCGAAGCGATCAATTATCCCGGCCAAGCAAGGTCCGAAGTCATTCACATGGCTATATCAGCCTCGATAAAAGGGAAAAAAATTGAAAGCTAGAAAATAAACATGACAAGATACACGGTAATTCTTGGCGTGTATTCAATCAAATGCTCCGGCGCACGCACGTACGCGCGCCGTCGAGGAAAACGCCCATATCTTTCAATGGGTAAAAAACTGACCAGTCCAGCGGCGCGATCGAGAGAAACAACAACAGCGGCACCTACCGCAACAACAACAGCGAGCGTCATGAAATAATAAATAAAGCCTCGCTGGGAGTTGATGTCGTGGACTCGCGACGAAACATCAGTCAAAGCCCGACGACAATCAATCTTCCATTGGCGACGCGGCTGGCTCTCGGGAAAAAAGGAGGGTGCGCGCGGCTTGCGAGTGACCGCGGCGGCGACGGCAGCGACCGGCCGAGACTCGAACCCGAGCGCTTGCCGGGCGCGAGCTGCACTATCGACCGGGACAAAGCGCTACGAATGTTTCCGCCCTTCCGCGTCCACCACCACGTATATCCATGATCGCATTCTCCTTACTACCAGCACGTCCGAGCCTGCGAATCCCCGTAGCCTGCAGCGAGACTGGCACTGGCGATCCGAGAACCCATAATGCGCGTGACTGATTGACGCCGGTGCTATGTTCATCGCCACAAGCAAGTCGGCAACGAACTGCCGAGGAGGGAGGCAAGTCGCGCGGTTGTCAATTAGTCGCGGAGTAAGTTGTCGGAGGGAAACTTATCAATGGGAAGCGGTCGGTTGTTTGGATGCAGGTGGAGAGCGGCGGCGGAACAATGGGTTCTCGGATGGCGTTATCGCGCGGCGAACGGCGGCGCGGCCGGGGGCGAGGGGCAACAGAGCGGCGGCGACGCGCATGAAGACGCGGCGAGGCAGTGGTCGGCGCAGTCGCGCAGGCGCCCTGCGCTGACTGGTTTTGTGGCGGCGAAGCAGCCTCGACGCCAGTGTGTCGAGCCCGAGGCTCCAGGTACGTGCTCTCGCTGGCATCGGCGTTCGGCCCGCGGGACGTGGTTGCGAGGTAGAGAGGTTATATTCTGACTGGTGCGTGGGCAGCGTCGCGGACGGGCCGCTGCCCGCTGGTTCGCGAAGTGCGCGAGTGCGCGGGCCGCGGAGAGTGCGCGACGAGGATGCGGCATGACTTGAGTAGAGCGAGTCAGTGAACGGTCAGGCAGGTAGGCAGGCAGGCAGGCAGGCAGGCAGGCAGGCAGGCAGGCAGGCAGGCAGGCAGGGAGGCAGGTGGCAGCGAGGGCCGAGCTGGCAGAATGAGACAAGTGCGACCGGGCGGAGATGCTGCCTCGTGCTCCGGCTGCCAGTAATGCCGTGGAAGAAGCTGCAGCTGGCGCAGTCGTGCTGAGCCGTGATGGTGCAGGCAGCTTGGTGGAGGCCCTGGTGTTGGCTGGTGCTGCTGGCCACGGGGCCGGTGCTCGGCGAGCTCAGCTCTCGGATCGTGCGCACCCAGTACGGCGAGCTCTCGGGGGTGATCGTCTCGCTGGGCCGTAGCCTCGAGAGCGTGGAGGTGTTCCGCGGGGTGCCCTATGCGTCTCCGCCTATCGGCAGCCTCAGGTTCATGCCGCCCGTCAGCTCGGCGCGCTGGCACGGGGTCAGGGTGGCCGACAAATTTGGCCCCGTCTGCCCGCAGAGGCTGCCAGTGCTCACCGACAAGATGCCCAAGGGCCGCTCCGACTACCTCAAACGGCTGCTGCCTTATCTCAAGAATCAGAGCGAGGACTGCCTCTACCTCAATATCTACGCCCCCGTCCAAGGTAACTTCACTCCACTTCTCGACCTCTCGCGTTTTTTCTTCTCGTGCCGCGACCAGTCCCTTTGCGGCTGACGGGATTCTTTGATTCTTTGTGCTCGATCGGCTGGAAAGATGTACGAGGAGTCAGTGCGCTCTTGAAATATTGGCGCCGCGCGCTCGCGAGTCCTTGCCCGAGTTATCAATCGGATGCCTTTTTCAAATGTGCATGAACCTCCTCTTCTCTGTTTTCTTCTATTTCTTTAAAAAAGCGCTCAGAGCTTACCGTTCGACAGACGTTTAAATGGATATTGCGTTTCTCCGAACATCACTGACTATGAGTCCTGCACCGAGCTCTCTCTGCTTATCCAATACTTAACTAATGCCACTTGTAAGCATGGTACAAGTGCTTGGGAAACGTATGAAAATAAGTACATAAACAATATATGTGTTGCAATGGGTATTGCTTTAACTTGCTTTATTTTCATGTATATCTGTTTTATCGAAATCGCGAAACCCGTAAGAAAGCGAATGGATGCGAAAGGACTAATCGGAACCCTCTGATTATAACTTTACTCGTTCCGACTTGTGTCGAATCACAGGAGTGCGCGCACTAAGAGAGTAATAGGCTTCTCTCTCGTCGCGATTGCAGATTAATGTTTAAACTAGATCTTGCGCGGACGCGCGCGCAGCTTTAGAAAACCACAAACTCCATTTGCACGGAAACGATTATTCAGCCTTTGCATCAATATCTCTCTTTCCCTTTTTCACGACGCATCGCCGGACGTTTTATATGCACAGCTCTTACGAGTTTTTTTCACTCGAATCTCATTTTTATCGACGGTTCATCAAACATTAAACGAGTAACTCGTTGAGCACTTAAATACTCGCTACGTTGTTTTCCTTAAGATCGTATTGTACAGTACCTTCGGTTCGGCAAGATATTCGACGAGGTTCGCGCACATACAGATTCAAGTGTTTCCCTTCGAACGAGCGGTCAAAGACCCTTCGCCGCCGACGGGGCCGTCTATTGACTTGGTTGCCAGTTGACGTATCCAATATTCCTTCGCTACGGATATTCCGTGGTGGCATTCGACAAGGATGATAGAAATTAAAGCGTACAGAGAGCCGTTACACAAAAGTCAAAAGTAAAGTGAGACGAAAAGCAGGTCGCTTGGCAGCTCGACGCCTTTGTCTTTATCGCGAGGAAATCTGATTCTGCACGCACGACTGCGACGAATTGTTCCTCCGTACGTGCTTCCTTTCGCGCGCGCCAGATCTAGGCCTCGCCTCTCGACTGCTCTTTCTGCAATTTTGACTTGATCCTTGTCGTCGTCGCTCTCGCAGTCTTTCTTACCGGTAACTGCCTTTCTTCCGAAGCGATAAATCCCGACAGCTCGCAATTTCCAAATTAGCCGGCTCTAATGAACGAGTCTGCTGCGCGCGGTATGCAGTTATGATATAGAGCCTGATTTAAAGCTAAACTTGGACAACGTTTTGCTAATTGTTTGTAATCGCAGTGCGTTGCGTATCGGCCTAATTTCGAACCACGTCCCCGGGCTTTCAATTAGCTTTCGAAATGTCAATTTACACGCGAATCGCATTCATCATATTACGTTCGACTTGGCTTATCGAAATAACCGACTGCCTGTTTGTCGCGCTCTCTTTCACTCCTTCTCTATCTGCTGAAATTAAATTCCATTCCAACACCTGTCCAAGCGAGAGACTGCGCTTGCAATATTCAGTCGTGACTGTCACGTCTATTTTTCTCGTGTCTCTCCATTGCGCGAGCGTTTCTTCTTTCAAAATTGAAAAGTCAAGCCAAACACACATATGGCGTTAGGATGAAGTCGAGCGCGGATCACTCTTTCGTTTTTTCTTCTTCTGCTCGGCAAAAACAAATGATTCCACTGGTTAGTCTTGACGGATCGAATGGGCTGACACCTCGAGAGTCGACTCGAATTTCGAATCCCCAAGTAGATTTGTGTTGCTGGAGTGCCCCGCGCGCCTTTGAAAAATGGAAAAGCCTCTCGGGTAAATCGGTTTTTTATGGCTGTTTGATATGTATCGAGTGCTGCATTATCTTTTTCCATTACAATGGCTTTCCAGTTTCTCTTAGTGTTCTTTTTTTACTTGGCTTACATTTTCACCGATTGTACATAGATCATCCTACGAGCGTGCGATCGACTGTACCGGACATCAATTTAATTTTTCATTAAATGACAATTACGCGATCGCGCGTCATAAATTAATAGTTAATTTAATAATTTGCCACTGGAAATTTATATACGGCTTCATTACGTAATTGTATTGTCTATTAATGACAGTGGAATGTCGTTAAGTGCGTAATAAATGTCGTATGCGGACCATGGCAAAAGTGTTCATCTAATTAAGTCTGGCTTTTATGATGTTCGCATGCCTCCCACGACTATACTAATTAAATATTTTCTGAAGCCTCTGCGCGCTTTGACCTGCTTATTCGTACTATGCAACTGTTCAAAAAATAATAAAAAAAATTGCCAATTATACTGACCCCGTCGCCCACGTGGTCATTAATTAATAAAGAATTGTATCTTTGCGCCAAGTTTTTTACTAGAGAGGGGGGGGGGGGTGAAAAAACTTTTCTCGTTACACTTCGGCTAATTAACGAGAAAGAGAGAAAAAGTACGTACTTTCTTGGAATTGAATAGTAAAGAAGCGAGAACGAAACAAGCCGATTTTTCAAGCGTGAATCGCAGCCTGAAAACGGCAGCAGAGCAGTAGCAGTAGCTGGCAATGCATTATTTATGACGAGCGTTAAAAAAGACGAATTTTTTAGCGCAGTGCACGAAACGTCGAGATTTGATCAATTGTACATGCTCTCGACGTTAATGCCGCGGGGAAAAATAGTCAAAGCTGCGTTCGCTTCGCGGATAGAATATGAAAGAATTTCGCGGGCAGCGGATGTCGCTGCTTTTGTATAATCCCGCTCTGAAAATTCCTCGAGCGAGCTGCACGTCATATCACGCTAATAAAATTTTTACCTTCATTAGTACATTCTGTCAGAACAAATGGGATTTTCTTTATAATCATGAGCGCGCGCACACCGTGACAGAAGAATGCCCCCGCTCCCGGATTCAACGTTGCCGACTAGTATTGTCGAACGTAAAAAAATCAGTTTAATGACGCGACGCGCAAACAAGGCATTGGAGATGCGAAAAAGCAATGCGAGAGAGAGAAAGTGGGTGGCGATTTATGAGGCGGCTACTATAAAATAACACTCGCCACGGCTATTCGGACGAGAGCGGATGAACGGGCGCGCAAGTCTTTGTTTCCGGAAAACCGAACAATGTTTCCACGGCAAAAATTCTGGAATTTCGGGAACGGCCAAGATTTTTTCCTCAGTCGGCTCGCGGAAATATTACCAAGAGCTTTTTGCCGACGATGGAAAACCGGGTCATCGTTCACGACAGAGAGCGCGGAGAAGAGAAGATTGGGGGTGAGGGAAGGAGAGAGAGGCGACGTCCTACAGACGAGAAATATTTATGACACTGAATTTTCGGTCGAGAGTGATGTAGAACCTTTCTTCTCTTTCCGTTAGGGTAGAAATTTCAAATCAATTCGTATTCTGGCATTCGTCAAATTTAATGAAAATTCTTTATTAAAGCGATTTAGGAATTTAGAAATTGCAGAGAATGCCATTGTCATGAAATTTGCTACAATAATTACGAGTTTATGGAATAATTTAGTTCTTTCTTCCGAGGGCTAGAAGTTTTAATGAGCTGCTGAAGTTTGATTGAAAAAATCTATTTAATGCAAAGTTCGTAGCAGCTAATGCCAGCCATTTATCACGATAGCCAACAGGACTATTCGTGTTTTAACTTTGGAAAGCCTCGACTTTCGAGTCGAGGCGCAAAAAAGTTCCAGGCAACGGTCAAGTTTTTTCCGCTTGGTTCTCTTTCTTTCCCTGTAGCTCTCTTCTCCGAGAGAAAGAGTAGGTATAATTGGAAAAAAAGGTTTTTGCTGGAGACGGTTATACCTGTGAAAATCATCATTGCGATAAATTGCTCAGTTTCGATCTCGTTTCTCTAACAATACCGATATCCGCATGGCTAGTTTTAATCCAGAAAAAGAGTTTTGCGGTTGTCTCGAGTGGCAAACTTGCTTGTGGCGGAATAGTTAAAAACAATAATTTTGGAAACTTTCAATTTTTCTCGTTTGTTTTTCTCGAACGACCTTTAGCCTTTCTCTTTCTCTCTCCCGCTCTCTCGTTCTTTCTCTTTCTCTTACAGCAGAATAAAAGGAGAAGATTTCGTCTTATCGTACTATGCTTCACTCTTTTTCCTGTCGCTTTTGGCCGCTTTCAAGCTTCATTTAAACTGCTCTAAAATGAAAAGTGCACGTACAAAGGCCTGTGCGGAAAAGGGGTTAAAACAAGGGCTTTTAATAAATTATTCATTCGATTCCCTTTTGACTTTGTTTGACAAATATTTTTAGCATCAAACAATTAACACTGTGATCTGCTTTGACGAAAGAAATGTACTTTCGTTTGGACAAAAATTGACAAAAAAGTACTAGATAATGAAAGAAAGCTTTCCTTCTTCAGTAGTTGAAAATCCATATAAATTAGTGGAATACTGAGACGCCCCACAAGAACATGCTCATCACAAATTCAGTGCTGATGAATTTCCGTGAATTTTGTAGAATTTTCAGAAGCTTTGGGCAATATTAACAAATTTCAGTAAAATTTGATGAATTTTGATAAACGTTGTACGCTTTCATGGTATGGGTCCGCATAGCTTGTTCCGTTCGAAAAAATTTCTCATTTATTTAATACAAGCCTTCAAAAAATGGAACTAGTATTAAACAAACTCGAAAACTATTAAATGAAGCCGTTTTCTGGAAAAATGGAATATTCATACTGCGCCAGACCGAAAAACCCAATCGAGGCTTCCACAAGATTAATTCGTGGATCACTTAGTGAATCAGCTAGAGCTCGCCACTGAAATGTAGTTCTGTAAAGTCTTTCAGCTTTTTGAAAGGCTT